TTTATCATTGTAAAATAGGAAAACAACAAATAACATTACTCAACATACAGATGTTTCATTATTGATAGCCAACGGAACGATACCAATACCAACGAAGACAAAAATATAGTATACACAATTACAAAAGATCAAATACAAAAAGGAGCGGCGAAGTATTTCAGTTTTCATTCCTTAAGCGCACATAAAACATCGACGACAAAATTTGATGAAAGTGAGTTCAAACGATGTATAAACGTTCTTTTTTTTGAATCTATTTTAATTTTAAAACGGTTTTCTGAAGAGGAAAAATCACGGCCGTTAGTGAAGAATCGTATTTTTTTTAATTTTTCGATTGATTCCCAAGTGTGAATCTTCATTCTGGTGGTGAAAATATAAAATCTATTTGATATTGTGTTTTCTTAAATTTCAGTGATTTTTGATTTGAATTAAATTTAAATAATTGTTTTTCAATTATTATTTTTGACACAATTGCTCAACATTTGTATCACAGTTTGTTATTTCTTTCGTTTCAAACTATTTTTAAATTCCGGCGATTTCTTTAAATGAATGATTTTTATGATTTTGTGTCATAATGAAATAGACAAATTGGTTTGATTATTGCATCTTTATCTTTTCCATCTCTTTTTAGGCAAATTAGGAAAGAAATTCGGCTACAATGCTAAAGTTTACATTATTTTTAATTAGTGTAGTTTTTTTCAACTGCATTTTTGCGGCGCCTCTAAGCAAACAGGGTAAGTTGATTTTTGTAATTTTCAAAATTTCGTCTAAACGTTGAAACATACATAACAGCAATTACTTTTACTCAACATATTTCATATTCTTTTATGGTATGCACTTAAATATCCAATGAAAAACTCCAAACCCAAAACGAATTAAAAGAGAATATGCCATAAAACATAAAATCATATTTTGTGGTAATTGAGATGGTATCGCTTCAATTGATGTGTCGTTGTTGTTAGTTTGCCGTGAATTTGACGAGTTCATATTGGAGAGATGTTATGTTATTATTTATTTGGTTGTTGGTTTCTTTCATCGGTGTCGTATGCGCTTGCAATGCTTTACACATGGCTGAGTGTATTTTCGGCGTGATTTATATATATATATATGTATAATGCACTGCTCTCTCCATACACGTTTCTTCACAGGTCCGATTTTTATATCCTAATATTTTAAATTCCAGGGGCGTCCACAGGATTTGGTCTAGGGGCAAGGCAAATAAAACAAAATGGGAAATTTTTCGAAAATATTTTTTTTATTGATTGTAACAAAAATTTGAAAGAAATTTGAAAAACAAAAAAAATATCTTCACTTTTTCGGTGAAAATCCCCAGCAAATTCTAATAACTTTCCTTCTTTGTTTATTTTTTATTTGTTATTGATTTTTTTTTTAAATCGAGGACATGGGTGCCGTTGCACCCCGTTTCAAACGAGAGAGTAGAGAATATATTGTCATCTGGAACAATCTCGATCATTCTATTTTGAAAAAAAAAAAAAATGAAACTCTTCTTTTGTTAATTTCGTTCCGTTCATTGTGTCGTATAGAAATTCAAATTGCTTTTGAATATCCAATGTCAGCTTTTAGGATATTTTCAAATGATGATCGCTCATTTTCAAGTGATATAAGTCAATTTTAAAGTTTCTAATTCGACTTTTGTAAAATGCATTCGGGTATTCAAACTAAAAAAATCCATGAACTTGAGTTTGTTGTATGAGCTTATTCTGTCCCGCCACAATGATTTTTTCTTATCACAAGTACGATAAGTTCGAGAACATTTTCGAAACAACTGGTCTGCTTTCAATCAGTTATTGCAAACCACCAAACCCGAAAAGGAAGCTGCACTGATAGCGAAAAAAAAAAACTCGTTGATATTTCATTGACCTCTAATTTTTTAAATAGAAGTTCAAAAAAAGTGGAATACAATGTACATTTCAAGTATTTGTTTTCTTAGTTTCTATCAGTTAGCTATGTCTCACACAAACTCGTGCGCACTAATATTTTATAACAACACACGGGTCATCAAGTTTTTTTTCATTAACACACTCTCTCCAGCAATGTAATCAGAATTTCGCTTGGCTGCAACATTAAAACCTTCGAACTTTGGCACCCATGTTTATCATTCATGTTTGCTCCGTATATATCAAACCAAGTGTGAGGGGGAGAGTGAGAAAAAATGTGTAGTCAAATCAAAAATTGATTACTACGACCGGGAGGTTGATTAGCATGAACAAACAAAAACACTCATGAATCGTTAACGGCAATAACATGCATATTGGAATGCAAAACAACAACAAAATCAAAATGAAAACGAGAGAAAATCAATTATTTGGAGAACAACAAAATTTATTATTTTTCCATTTGTTATCATTTTCTGATTGAATTCAGCTAATTAAGCATTTGAATAAAGCGATGAAATGTGCATTTTTTTTCTTTCTTTCACTTTAGTTGATTTAGATAAGCATTTTTTTCGAACTTTTTCTTTCACGTGCATATTCTAAACTATGTGTAACACACTACGGAAAATATATATTGAGCTGACTAATCAGCCCAGATGATACGAATTAGACAAAATTCAAGTGTACCAATGAGCTGTCGAATTCGTATCAACTGAGCTGATCAGTCAGCTCAATAAATTGTCTGATTTTTCTGTCAACTAAATTTGCCATCATAGTTCAATCAACTTTGCGACAAATGATAAGAGCATTCATTTGTTGAAAAGTATTTAGAATGGCCACATGGAAAAAAGTGATGATCGCTGATAATTCAATAATGATTGCCATACCAAAAGCATGCTCAATTCAAAGTTCGCGCTGATGTGGCGTTGTCGTATTCGTTGTCGTTGACACACCGTACATCGATCACATCAAAAATTATGAATTGAAATGAGAAAAATGTAACCGCTTTGCAATTGAAAAAAAGCCGCTCTTGATTTATCTTCGCACAATATTAAGCTTAAACCAGGCGATCATTAAATTGAAAACTATTTTTCCATTCATGATAAAAATCGGGTTGTTGAATAGTGTCAACAAATTGTTTACATCTTCGGGTAGTTCAACTATAGTATTATACTATATTATATATATATATATAATGAATAATTTCAATGTTTATCTCTTTGTGGTGTGAAATACGGGGCAACATTTCTAGACCCTTAGACAATCAAATATGATATAAATATAAAATTCGAATGAAAAACCGCAGGCAAATAAAGAACTTGCAATAGATTACAGTATGCATGCATACAAGATTACAATGCGATGATATACCTTTGAATTCCACTTGGAGATGAGCGGATATACACAATAATGAAATAAAAAAAAAACACAAGATAATAGCAATACACTTTGAAGCATAAAGCATTGTTTTTTTTGACGAAGAAAACGTCCTTAAATATCCAAAATAATTGATGTTAAAATAATAATATGCAATGCTTTCATTTCAATGCTTTCATGCAATTTTTTTCATTTAAACCACAATTTCACTTGTGATTATTGTTTCAAAAAAAAAAACATTCCCCCTTGTCTTGCTTTTGTTTTGATTGCTTTTTTGCTTATTCTGTTGACAAATTATGTTTCACAAAAATCACATGCTGGGGAGAAAAAAGAACGCCATGTAAATAGCGAAAGGGAAAGAGAAAAAAAAGTTGTCGTCAACAAGAGACAATGCAAGGAACGTAGAGGGAAAATTGATAAGTTTTGAATTATATTGTTTTCGAAAAATGAGACCTCCTTTCTTATTAATTTTCGAGATTGTGAACAACAAGAGAGAGAAAAACATACACAACATTTAATAACGAAAATCGCCTTTTGTGTTAATCTTTTGTTTTCTCTATATTTCATTTCAAAGGGAATGGATGCAAACAAGGTTGCCCATCAAGTGAGTATCATAAACAATTTATTTCTCTTTTTGGATTTTCTATATTAGAGTAAGAAAAAAAGCGTCCGATGGAAAAAAAGCGTGCGAACATGTTCAACTTTGTTCCAAATGCAATGAAAGAGACTTTCAAATGGTGGTGATTTTTCAGTTCTTTATCACAATGTGAATTACTTTTAAATTCGAAATTATCGGTTTCAATATTATTTTAATGAGAATTGTTTTGAATTACATAGATGAATTTCTTTTTTTGAATTTTCAATTCGAAAACCATTTGGAGAGAGTTTAATTGGGAGAAGAACACATTCTATCTTTAATAGAATGACCGAATGCCCCTTATTATTGCGCGATTTTAATTAAGGACTAGTGCCGTAGACAGAATTTTGTGAATGTCCCTGTTTTGGTTACACATACTCTTAAAACGACATTGACAATAGCTCGTCTCTTCTATGTATCATCGTTTCAATAAATTTTATTCTAATTGTTTTTTTTTTGTTTTCTTCTTTTTTTCTTCGTTCTGCCCCAATTCTATCGGACCCAAAATAAAAAATAACAGCAAGCAAAGGAAGCAAATTAAAATATCAACCCGGCCAAGTGTATAGCTATAACTTCGAAAGTACAGTATCGATTTCATTAACTGGAAATGATCCCCAAGATATTCAATTGCAAGTTCAGGGTACAGCTCATGTGCACGGCTATTCAAATTGCCAATATGGTTTGGATTTGAATGATGTAACATTGATTGGACCGGATAAGGCCAAGACAAAGTTCAATAGCAAATTACAATTATCGAAAATCGTACAATTCACATTATCCGACGATAAATTAGAATCGGAGATTTGCGCCAGCCCAGACGATTCCGATGTTTCGTTGAACATTAAACGAGCATTGATTTCATTGTTGCAATTGAATGATGGATCCGCTGAAGAAGTCGATGTTTTCGGTAAATGTCAAACAAACTATGCCGTCACAAAGAACGATGATGGTTCATATGTTGTTACCAAAACTCGTGACTTGAACTCATGCAGTCACCGTGAAAGCTTTGTCAATGGTATTATTACTGGTGTTTTCAATGAAAACAGCAACATAAAATCGACCCCATTATTGAACGGCGATTATACCAATGAAGTTCGTGTCAATCGTAACGGCATCGTTGAATCGTCTCAAGTTGTTGAAGATTATGTGTTGGTGCCGTTTTCAAATGGTGATGCCGGTGTTCGTGCACGTGTTGTCACATCATTTCGATTGAAAGACCAAAAACCAAATGGCGGTGAAACACTATCGGTTTCAGTACCACGGTCGTTGATCTATGAAAGCGTTAAAAAACCACAAGCCGTTAACTACAAAACCGCAAAAGAATCGCTGTTTGGCATTTGCAAAACATATGAACAACGTAAAAACACTGTTGGTGCTCAAGTTGCTGGCCAATTCACCGAAACCATTCGTTTGTTGCGCTACTTGAAAAAGGATGACATTTTACTATTGCATAAAGATGCAAGCAATCCAATTTGTCGCAAAGTATTTTTGGATGCTGTTTTCCGTGTTGCCAGCGCTGAGTCGATCAATGCAATCGCATCGCTATTGGAAAATAATAAAATTCACGAAAAACGTTTGGCCTATCTTTCATTCAATTTGGCTACATCGGTTAACAAGGAAACTATAAACATTTTGACGGTAAGTTCAAATTTCTTCTAATTCATTCACCGCAAATTGAAGACATCCATTTGATTTTTTTTTAAATTTGTAATAAACATGTAGAAATTGCTCGAAAAGGACGTTCTAAAAGAAGGTTATTTGAGCATTGGAAACTTAGTCAAAAAATACATACAACAAAATGGTAACGAAAATGATGCTGATCTCGTGAAATTACTTGATAAATTGGCCGATAAGTTGGGTAACTGCAAAAGCGCAAAACGTCACCAAGAAGATGTGATTGTTGCCATTTTGAAGGGATTACGTAGTGCTGAAGGTGTCACTGGATCACTTTTGGATAAATTGGTGAAATGTGCAAGTGAAGGTAATGCCGGGCGTGTTCGTGCCGCTGCCATTCAAGCATTTGCATCGGCCTCATGCGACAACAAAATCCAATCGGCTGCATTGAATCTCTTGAAAAATCGTAAAGACGATTCGGAATTCCGTATTGAAGCATATTTAGCTTTGGTCGATTGTTCATCACCAGAAATTGCCGATGAAGTATCAAAATTATTGGATGACGAACCTGTTTATCAAGTTGGCTCATTCATTGTTTCGCATTTGAAAAATTTACGTGCATCAACCGATTTGTACCGAGAAAAGGCACGTAACGATTTTGCTGATGTTACTGCATCGAAGAAATTCCCAAATGACATTCGTAAATTCTCATTTAATCATGAATTCTCCTATGAATTTGGATCGCTTGGTTTGGGCGGTAGCATTGACAGCAACGTCATTTACTCGCAAAAATCATTCACACCACGTTCACTTCGCACCAATTTAACCGGTGAATTGTTCGGCACAAGCTTCAACATTTTCGAACTGAGCGGACGTCAAGAGAACTTCGATTTGGTGTTGGAGCATTATTTTGGCCCCAAAGGATATTTCAACACATTGAACAAACAGGAGGCTCTGTGTAAGTTGTTTTGAACAAATGTCAAACAGAAAATAATAAATATAACGATAATTTATTTACCTTTTTTTTTTTTTTTTGAATCGCAGCTAAAATCCATGACTACGTTAGTGGTGGAGCATATCGTCCAAAACGTAGTATCGCCCAAGAGGCGGACAATTTCGGAAAAGATTATGTCGGTTCATCGGGTCGCGATGTTGATTTTGATTTTTCGGTGAAAATGTTCGGTTCGGAATTGTATTTCTTGAGTTTGGGTGACAATTTACCATCAGAAAGCAAAGATTTCACAAAAGAATTCGGTCGCTTATTGCAAAACTTCTTGAAAGATGCCAAAGAACGCAAAAAGAAACAATATGAAGTTCACTCGTTGTTCCTTGATGCTGAATTCTCATACCCAACCAGTTCCGGTTTTCCATTGAAGATTCAATCACAAGGTGCGGGTGCGTTCCGCTTGGAAGCTTCACTCAAGGCTGACTTTAAGGACATTCAAGCCAATCCAAAGAACACGAAATTCGCGGTCAGCGTTTCGCCAAGTTACAACGTTGAATTGAGTGGAATTATTAGCGTTGATGGCTATGAAGTAACGACCGGTGTAAAAGTTACCAGCAATGTGCACAGTGCAACTGGTGCCCAATTGTCATTCGAGCTATTGAATCAAGGCAAAGGTGTTGATGTTAAAGTCGATTTTCCACTTAAAAAACAAGAAATTCTCAGTTTTGATCATGATATCGTTTTTATCCAACAAAACTTGGGTCATCCAAGCATTATACACAATTTGAAATCGGCACAAAAGTAAGTTCGATTTAAATTCATATGCTTTTGAAATTATTTTTGTTTATAAATCATGTTAGCTGCAAATTGAAATGTTAAATTGTTTTGTTTTTTTTTCTGTTCACAGGAAAGATGTTAGCAATAACGAAGATTGTTTCGATCAATTCCAAAAATATTTGGGTGTAACCGTTTGCTATGAATTGAAATACAAAAAAGGCGAAAAATTGGTGAACAGTCGTTTGTTCCCATTGAATGGGCCAGTTCATGCATCGGCTTATATTGAAATTGAAAAACAATACCATTTTAATGCCGCGTATGACGATTCAATTCAACAAAAACGGACATTAGAATTGGTGTTCGATACACCCGAATCAGTAGACAAACGTAAAGTATCAGTTAAATTCGAAGGTGCCATTCAACCAAAGGCATACCTAAGCGCCGAAATTGTATCACCATACAAATCGGTAAACGCTGAAATCGGTGTCAATAATGACGACAAAGAATTGACCATCTATGGACAAGCCAACAGTGATGCCTTGCAATATTTGTTGAAATTCGGTTTCAAAAAGAGTGGATCAGGTACACGTCGTGAATACACACCAATCATTGAGTACAACAATCCAGAAGAAATTCCATACAAAGTGAGCGGAAAACTAATTGTCGATTCATCACAACCACCGAAGATGCGATACAATTTCGAAAAATTGACCATTGAGCCAGCACAAAGTGATGGAAAATTCGGTCCATTGGTGTTTGATGGATGGTTTGAACATGAAAAACTTGAACATTTTGAAACAGCTATGGATGTTAAATACAAGGATAATACGGCCAATATTAAAGGTAACGTTATTGCCAAAAACCAAGAATTGGATTTGGATTTGTCACTTTTGAGTGATGTTGCTGAATTTGCCAACGGTCGTGTGAAATTCCATTACAAACGTGGTCAAAAACAATGCAAAAACTCATTTGTATTTGTGTATGGCCGTGACTTGGAATCGACAACCAAACGCATTGAATTAACCACCGACTATGAATTCGAGAAAAAGGACGATAAATACGTTAGCATTGCTGGCAAAAACACGCTCATCATTTCACCAATTCCAATCAAGCTTGTGCTTAACGGTGGATACCGTGCGGGACATTTTGACTACGAATTTATTGGTGGCTATGCCCAAAATGAAGTATCATCAAAATTGAATGCTGATGTTAACAAGAAGAGCAAAGGCGATTGGAATATTAAAATCAATGGAGCCGTGAATAATCACAATATTGAACTGGTATCATCACGTGACATCGATGATGCGGCTCAACGATCGGTCGTTAAAAATGAATTGAAATCAAGTGGCGGAGCCAGTGTTTCTGTCAACGCAAAATTCGATAATCATTTCAGCACTCAAAAGATTGATTTTGCTGCCGACGGTGTTGTTGTAGTTGGACGTGGACAAAAACCATTGAAATTGGACTTTAAATTTTTGCTCAATCCAAAGTCTGCTCAAAGTAACGGAAAATTGCTGGCCGACAATGCAGAAGTCTTTTCATTTAATGCCGTTCTCAATCGTAATGAAGGCAATGTCAACAATCCAACCACCGCAAAATTGGAAATCAGTGTACCAGATTTTGTATCGGCTCACGGTGATTACAATTCGGTGAAAGGTAAAGGTAAATCGGAATTCATTGTAACATTCCAGAAATTCGATCGTAAAGTTAAAGTTGTCACCAATTACGAAGTTGGCACCAATAAATTCGATTTGCTTAACGATTTCTACTACAATTTTGAAAAGGATAATTCGCGTCACATTGCATTCGAGACAAAGAATAAATATGCAAGCAATTCATTCGACAGCGTCAACGAAGTCGATATTAACGGCGAGAAATTCCATTTTGCAATCGATGGAAGCAAAACCGGTAACTTTAAGAATGGAAAACAAAATGGTAAATTTACATTGCGTTTGCCAACGGAACGTGAAATTGTTGGTACATTGGATCGTCAAGTAGATTATACATCAGCAAAAGCAACCGCATACGGTGTCGCTAAGATTACCGACACCATTGCACAGGGTGGACGCAAACAACGTTCCATTGAATTCAGTCGCACATTGAAAGATGGAGACCGCGAAAAACGATTGTTTGATGTTTACCATAAGCTTACACTCACCGATTTTGATGCAAAATCAATTGTTGTCGATACACATTTCAATCATTTGCCAAAAGGTAGTTACAAATCAGCTTTGGCCAATGTTAAAGTCAGTGGCTCTGTTCCACATCCAATTGAACTAAACGTTGGCATTGATGAATACTGTGCCATCCATGCTATTTACAATGCAAACTTTAAATACGGTAATGCTGGTGCGGTACAATTAAATGGTGACTATTATGTGGGTGAACCGGGTAAAAAACCAAACACATTCAAATTAACGGGTCAAGTGTCGGTGCCACAAAGTAAATTGAAACAATTGTCATTCGATACACGCGGTAGCTTCAAATGTCCAGAGAAAAAAGATGCAAACGGTCAATTCGAATATGAATTCAAATTCAACAGCAAATTGAATGAAAAGAATGTTGACATCAATACCAATGGTAAATTCGGTAAAGCAAATGGTGATTTATCGCTCAATGTAAAACTGCCCGAAACCGATTCAGTCGCTCTTGATTTGGACTACAGCTATGACCGAAATGCGGAACAAAAATCACATCACGGTGTCGGAAATATTCAGGTGCGTTATGGTAATGGTAAAAACATCAAATTCTCTGGAGATGGTAAAGTGGTTGAGCATAAGGAAATCTCCTATCACAGTTCAATAAATACATCATATGAAAAGGCCAAGAGCTTTGATGTTTCATTCAAAATAGTCAAAAAGGAGGAGGATGCCTATCAAACGGAAGCTGAATTGAAGATCGATGACAAAAAATACAAACTTTCAAATGTTGTTGTTGCTTCACACTTGAGCCCATCGTTCACTCTTGATGTTTATTATCCACAAGAAAAACACTCACAGGTCGCTGTTGCTGTAAGCCGTATTGCTGATCGCAAACATAAATTGAGCGTACGCTTGGTTAATATCAAAAGCTTCCAATTGAGTGGTGACGTTGAATTGTCTTATCAGAGCGTTGAGAACTTTGGATTGATCGTTGATTTGGATTCGGCCGTATTGAAAGCAAATAAATTGCACATTGACATTCATTCAAAACAAAGTGGCAATAACAAAGGTATCGAATTCAGTGCAACTGAACAAAATAAAAACATTATTAGCGGAACGGCCGATTATTCGGTGAAACAAGAAAAAGGAAAGAGCACTATTGAAGGCAAAGGCAATGTTAACTGGTATGATAAATCAAGCGCACTCACCTTCCAATTTGTACGCAGCACATTCAATCAAGCTGAAAACAATGAAACCGGATTTAGTGTAAGTATCTTAATTCTACATCCATTTTTTGTTTGTTCTTATAAATAATTATTGATTGTAATCGTTGGATCTCTTCAATCTAGTTGGTGTTCAACGGTCAAATTGGTCCAAAGAATGTTCAAGCCGAATTGAAAGCCACCAACCGAGAATTCCATTTGCAACAAACGATTTGTGAATCGGACAAACCATGCGTTCACTTAAAGGTTACATCGATTTTAAGCGATGTTGATTGGAAACATTTCACTCACAATTTATTGGTTACATTTAATTTGCGTTCACTTGGTTTTCCTCATGAATTCAACTTGAAGGCAGATACCAAACGTGATGGATACTTCATTGAGCATACATTTGATACACAAATCCAATCGGCCGATCAAAATAAATATCAATTCAATGCATTCGTTAAACCAACAACGGCCGGTATTGTGCTTAGCATTCCAAAGCGAACGGCTGCTGTTGAAGCAACATTTGCTTATCCAAAAGAATTCATCGGTGTCTATCAAGCAACTATCACCAGCTACTTGGATAAGAAAAACAATCCAAGCAAACATAGTACAATCGGTTTCAAGGGTGAACTTAAACGTCCCGGCAAAATGGTATTCATTGCAACCGGTGCTTTAGTCGCCAGTCATCCATCGGTTAAAGAATTGAAAATTAGCGGTGAATCCGAATTCAGTGCTGATAAACGTTTGATTAGCGGTAGTCTTACATTTGACGTATTTAAAAACACAAATCAAGCTATTGTTGTTTCTGCCAAGTATGCCAATACCGATTCGTCATCAAAAGGATTCAATCTTACATCGGAATTATCATTGAAGAGTCAAGGACTTGGCTTGAACTATGTATTCCGCGAGAATGCTGGTGTTAGCTTTGGTCGTCGTGCAGTCTCATATACATATGAATTCCGTGGCCCAACATCAAAAGAACGGTTCGGCGTTTACTTGGTCGGCGATCCAAAGAAGGTTGATTTCAGCATTGTTTCATTCGACGAAGAATTGGTGAAAGGTAGCGGTGAAGTGGATGTTGCCAAAAAGACAGCATCGATTCAATCAACCTATAAACTATTGGGAACTGAACCAATTCATTCGCATGCCACCGCCTCATTGAATGCTTTCAATGCAAATATCAAACAAGGAAATTTCTTCTCAATTCAAGCCGATGCTGTTGCTGCCAAAGCATTGAGCTTCAAGGCAATTGGAAATCAAAAAACACTATTGAACCTCAATGTCGCATTGGATCAAGCTAACTTTTTGTCAACCAACTATGATGTGAATGACAAAGAACTCAAAGAATTCTTGGTAAGTGAAAATGAAGCGAAGTTTTTAAAGGAAAAAAAATTGATTTTTGTTTGACTTACAGAAAAGTACTAGAGCCAAGCTTGCCGGAGATGCAAAACAAGCTCGTAATGAATTCGAATCACGTATTAACCAAGCCAAAAACTCATTGACCGCACAAGTGAACAGTGTCAAAGGAAATTTGCCCGATTTCTCGAAATTGAATGCCGACTACAAAGAAGAATTCGAAAACTTCAGCAATGACCTGTTGGCCGACAAATCGATCAAAGAATTGGTTGATCTATTGTAAGTGTTTATGCAATTATAGTTATGCGAAAAGCATTTGCAAATACCAAACAAAATTAATTATTGATATAAATTTCAGCAAACAAACGTACGAAACTCTAAATAAAACTGTTGGCGAATTGTTGCGCACTTTGATCGAAAACTTCAAACAAGTCTCAAAAACAATTAACGAATTCTTCAAAGAATTGTATGATGGATTCAATGAACGTATTTTGCCATCGCTTAAAGAATCATACATTCACATTGAACAATCACTATCAAGTGTATTCGATGAACTGTTCAGCTCGCTCGCACATTTGTTGGAACGTTTAATTGAATCGCTCAAAAGATTCGAAGATGATTTCAAAACAATCGGAAAATCGGCCAGCGAATGGTCAAAGAAAGCCGGCAAAGTACTTGGTGAACAATGTTCAATTGTTCAACGTGAACTTGAAGACATTTACAAATTGATTGTCGATCATCTTAAATCGTTGCCAGGACTTGAAGTCATCAAGGAGAAATACAATGAAGTAAGTTGTTGATGAAGACAGTAGTTGTTGATTGGACATTTTCCATGCAAAAACAAATATTTAAGGGTAAATCGATTTCATTTTAAAATAGCTCGTGCAAAGAATACCGGTTAGCGATGCTGAAGAACTTAAGAAATTGGCTGAAAAACCATTGGCCATATTGAAAAAATGGCTTGAGTGGACACAAGAGCGATTACAATCATTGAGTGTTGATTCAGCTGACGATTACTATGGATTACCATTTGTATGGTTCCAGAAGGTAAGCAAACGATTTCATCTTTCATATTTAAATGCAAATCGTAAAAATTATGCCATTAAATGTGTCAATTACAGAATATACACTACTTCCCAAAACTCACCACCATGAAACTCAGCATTTTGAATTATGTCATGCATGAACCATTGCCGTCGCTTAAAGATGTATTGCTCACTTACCGTCCATACGCTTTCAATCCATTGTATTTGGTGCCACCATTCCCGATCGAAGGTCATGTTGTCGAAGGTGAACACCTGTTCACATTCAGCGGTGATCAATTGACATTGCCAGGCGCTACATGTAACTACGTACTTGCTAAGGATATTGTTGATGGTAACTTTACTGTTCTTGCTAAAATTGTTGACAAAAAATTGCAATCGATCAGCTTGGTTGACAAGAGCGGCGAATCAATTGAATTGGCTGCCAATGGAAAATTAACGGTTAATGATAAAGCAAACGAATTCCCAGTTCTTGAGAAATCATTGTACGCTTGGCGAACATATTACAGTGCAAGCTTGTATTCAACATACGGTGTTCAAGTTTTGTGCGCATTGGATTTGAAGGTGTGTCACATTACGGTCAACGGTTATTACTTTAGCAAATTGCGCGGTCTATTGGGCAACGGTGGTTACGAACAATACGATGCCAAATCGCTACCAAATGGAAAGATCTCAGATAGTTCTTCACAATTTGTCAATGCGTATAAATTGGTAAACTCATGCCCCGACGTAAGCATTGATGAACAACACAAGCATTCCGATGACGCCAAAAGTCCAGAATGTGAAAAAGTTTTCGGTTCATCATCATTGCGCTACGCAAGTTACATTCTTGATTCAAAACAATATTTCGAGGCTTGTGAACATGCTGTAAAGAGTGCAGCTAACAAACAACAAGCTGCCTGTAACGTTGGTTTCGGCTATGCTTCATACGCACGCTTGCAAAATGTTCCAGTCAGCATGCCAGGTGTTTGCCAAAAATGTGAGGTCATTGACGATAACAAAAGTGTAAAATCGTATGAAATCGGTGAACGCTACACGGTGGATAGTGGTAAAAAAGCTGATATTGTCTTTGTAGTCGATACGGCAATTGAATCAAAATCGCTTACCGATTTGGTGCAACATTTTATCACCGAATTGCGAAAACAATTGAAAAAAGAATACGACGCACATATCAGTGTGATTGGATACAAAAAGGGTGAGAAATATCTCAGCCATTATACAACCGATGGAAAATTGGACGTTTCAAATTTCCACTTGCCTAAGAACTCGGAATACATGCCTAAAGAAGAAAAAATTGTATCGCTCAACTGTAAATACATGGATCCAATCTTACAAACATTATACGATACAAGCATTAAGATTCAAGAAGAACTCAGTCTATTGGCCGATGGTCGTGCATTCCGCGAGGCTCTTAACTATCCATTCCGTTCAAATGCCCATCGATCAATTGTTGCCATTCGGTCAGACGTTCTACAACACTCATCGAATCCGGTAAGTTTCCAATTATTCATAAACATAATGAATAATGTCGTTTACTGATCATCATATTATATATATTCATTTACCAGATTAAATTGCTCGGCGCAAAGGCTGTCAATGAAATTGCCAAAGGAATGGGTATCAATCTTCATTTGCTTGCACCAACACCCGAATTGAAATTCAATAACAACAAAGAGGTTAACAATGTGGTTGGTTTCAGTGACAAACAAGTTTTGTATTTGCCAGGCCAGAAAAAACACAGTGCGGATCGTCAACATTTGCAATACGGTCTTGATTTGGGAATTGATATGGTTAGCGAAAATCATGGATACGCATTCAGTTTGACCAATTACAATGCACTCGATGCACCGAACCAAAAATCATTTGTGAAAATCGCCGCACAACATATTGCCCAACAAATCACTAAAACCGAAAGTGTTCACGAATGTGTTTGTATTCCTCACCATGGCCTCTTCCCACGGGAATATTGCCGTGAAACTGAAAGAAACATCAAAAATCGCAAATAGATAGACGAAGATTGATTTGTAATTTCTGAGAAAAAAAACAAAAGAAAAAATCTCAAAAAAATGCCTTTTAGTCAGATAAATTCATACAATTATTTTTTTGCCGATGTAACAATTAAATTTATTTTTTTTTCCTTTTCTCATCATTTTCTTTTTGTGTTTAAGTTCGCTTAGTGTCTCGTTTATAAAGACTATTGATGAAAATTGTAATTAAACAAAATCAATAAAATGAACAAAAATGTTATTTAGTTTTGGTTTAAATATCCGAAATTTGGCTCAAACTCCAAAATAAGAGAATTTGCGAATTCAAAATTCACATTTTCATGAACATTTTCTACAGAAATACATAGATTAATCATAGCATCTATAGATTATTGATGTCCGCATATTATTTGATCCGTTTCTTCCGAGGCTGTTTCAGTGGAGACTTGGGCATTTATTAACGTAGCGCATTTATCAGGATTTATTCCGTTAAACGGAATTCTATGAGTTGAGCCGTTGTCGTCATGCCATAAATAATATTCTGAGCAACTGAGCCAATAGAAACATTAATATGTTGCACCCAAGGAAGTAAATTTTTTGTACAAAATGCGAATGCTATATCATTAATTAAAACTCGAAAAAAACTTGATCAATTACGAATTATCTTTTTATTAAAGTATAAATTTGGCGTCCACGTGATTTGAAACATTTTAATTTTCAAACGATAATAAAAACCATTCATAACCATTTATTAAACTACCTTACCATATTCGTGTGTTCCGATGGTAATATTCCTGTTTTGCGCCTGAAAGCTATCTTTTATTCTGTATTCTGATCGCTTTAAATGGAAATCGATGCCTTTAAATTGCATTTATGGAATATAATCATAAATTAAAAATCAAGAAAAACATTCAAGTGGTCTATTTGCTTTTTTATTATATCAATCTTGGTACTATGCTGCTAATTGGCCTATTTTGTTTCCCTTCTACACCGTTAAATGAATCGATTAATTTGTTTTGAAATCTCTCTATCAACTAAATTCATATAATGAAATGGAATTTCTTAGAAAATCTACCGATATCCTAATGAACCTAAGCTATGTGTGTGTGTTATAGGCCATACAAATGAAAATCATGTTCCAAAAATACCTGGTGAAAAGGATTTCGATTAAATTTTGCTTGAATGTGATGTGAATGTGCACATTAAACCAGTCTCAAAAGTGTGAGAATGAAAAAATGGATAATCTAAGCTAAAAAGCCGTGTATAAAGGAAAAAAAGAAGATTGCAATGGCTTTGACACAGGGCACTAAATAGTATACTGAATGAAAAATGTTTTTTTTTTTATATATTTCAATATGTAAATTTATTATTATCAAGGAATTCAGGACATTATGAAATAAATAGCAAAACACATGCAGAAAAAAATGTGTCATTGTGGCGATTTTGTGACTTTTGGTCGCCGTAATTACTGTATAATGTGTGTATGTTTGTGTGGCGCATTTTTTGCTTCTTTCATTTGGATTTTTATTGTGCATGCATTTTACTCTATTGACATTCCTTTTACTTACTTCCTTACTACTTAGTACAGAAATTTGGAAATAATTACTACTGTGACTAAATGAATAAGTGATTTTTTTTAAAAAAAAAGACCAATTACATGTTTCTTTTTTTTTTTCTCTCTTCTTTCTCTTTAAATTATTGCAGAATCAGAATTCATATAATATCACATAAAAAAAATAAACAAATTCAATCAAAACAAAGACAAATGGAGGAACACCAAAAAAAAAGTGAAATGAAAAGAAAAGGAAATGGAAACATAAAAAAGATTTATCCGTTATGCATTCATTTTTCATCAAATTAGTTAATCTAAATCCGTCGCATTCTTTTTTTCTTTCAAAAGAAAGGACGAGTGCGAAAAAAAAAGTTTTTTTTTGGGAGGGAGACATTTGGGGTAATTTATGATTTGTAAATAATTATCATGCAATTCATAATGAGGTTACTATATTTAGTAAGAGATATTTGTTGCTTGGATAATGTAATGACTCATACTAATAACAACGAACAACAGAAAAGAAAGCCCGATCAAATGAGATGAGAATAATTGTGTCAGAAACTAGATACACTTTTTTCGGATTACATTTCCATATATATTTATGTTTAAGTGTAGATTTTTTTCGTTCTTTTTTCTATTCCCTTTAATTTGTAAAATGAGATTTTTTTTGTGCTGCCGCATATGCTTAATGTATATTATATATATAATATGTTGCTTTCTTGAAGCTGCCATGTTGTGTCTGTGTGCTGTATGTTCGTTGTTATAGTCATTGTTATAAAATTCCATGTTTCACATTGCCATTGTACATGGAATATATTTGCCTACGGAAAGATGTCAAATTCTATCCTAATTGCTATTTCATTTCTGATTTTACAATATACTACGTATTTGTTTTAATTTATTGGTATTTTGTTTTTCTTCTTGTTGTTATGTATTGTTTGTGTGTTGTTGTTGTTAATTGCTGTTGATTTCTTTGTATTTGCGTATTTTCGCCGTTTGTCTCTCGCTTGTTTTTTTCTACTTCATTTTTTTGTTTACTAATTGCTTATCTGGCTGCCTTTGGGTATAGTTTCGGTTAAAGTTGCGTAAATTTAAATTACATATTGTACGCTACATAAATAGGATCTAATTGATCGGCCAGAAAACCATCACGCAAATGCATTCGTTGTTTTTCACCACGACTATTGATCGGAACAACGCCCGGATCTACTACCACAACAACGCCAACAATAAGCTGATGCTCTTCGAGAACCTGCAATTAAATATTTTCAATATAGACATTTCGCATCCATTTTCTATTCGAACGATTTTGATTTTATGACAAACGTACCGTATTTGTAACAAGTGGAACCAAATCCAACGCTTCGGATTCATTGCCATCGAGTTCAACGACAACGACAAGCAAATTGGTCCATGTGAACACTGCACATTCGGCAATCTTTTTATGACATCTCAGGACTGAATTTTCAATGTCAATTGGATGATAGTTCATGCCACGCAATGTAATTACTTCATCAACTGCACCAACCACATAAACGGCATCGTGTAATTCATGCTCATTATTGAAACTGGCATTACCACCACCACTACCCGGTGCATTTTGTGAATGAATAGTGCCCTGTGAATGTAATGATTCGGTATCACTGTCACGGCTTGCTATGCTTGGCGTTGTCTAAAGATAAATACAAGAAAAAAAATCAAATCGATCCACATGAGTTTCGTTGGCCAGTTTCTATTTTCATTTATAATTTTTACCTCATCGAGAATTGATGATGCTTGTGAGCATTCGGTGCGGCGCAAGAATCCCAAGTAGCCAGTTCGTGCATATACTTCAGTCGTTGCACCAGTCACCAATTTGGCATTGAAATGATCGTTGTAGTCTTTTTCATCACCATAAATGGTGAAATATCCGTTAGCTGTGTGTGGTGATTGTACCCAAATTTCACCTAAATGCGAATCGCCGCAATGACCTTTTGTATCTGGATTGGCAATGATTGCTTTTACTCCGGGTAAGAGTTTTCCTGTTGTTGTTTTTTTGTGAAATGTTTGGAAATTAGTTTTTTTAATGTTGGCTATAATACACAATTGATGCAAGATTTTTTTTGTCTCTTATAAATTACCTGATTCGATTAAACATAAACTATTTGGTGCGCCACGTTCCACAAGTGCCACGCGATTATTGCGAAGTGCTCGTAAATCAACATATACTTGAGCACTTTCGGCCGAACTGGCGCCTTGCACACAAATTGCTGGATTAACACGACATCCAAACGATGTCGATACACATCGTGTGTTTAATCCTAATGCTTGGAACAGTTTACAGAACTGTTGTGTCAATTGAACGCGTGGTCGTTCTTCAGCAACAACAACACATGTTCGTACGCATCCAAGATTGATATTGCGTTGTTTCAACATTTGAATTGAATTGCTTAGTGCTTTTGTGCACAATTCAATGACGCCATATGAACAGAATGTATCTCGCACACGATATTGTGACAATGTACTCAACCATAGACTGGGATTCGCTTCAACTTCATACGGTGCAATTAATAATGAATGATGACCACTGTATACGCCGATTAATGTCCACATGATGAAACCAAGACCACAATATGGATCCAAACATAAAGCCACATGACGACTCGGATATAATTCACATGCCAATTTCAAACTAGCACAAACACTCGACAATGATCTAAGGCACACACAAAAATAAATAAATAATCATTAAGTATTCGGGTTAATTGATTCATGTCATCAATGTTTGTCGAATAATATCGCAAACGATAATTAAATAATAGCATTTAGCACCAATTAACTAACCTATGCGTCATAATAACACCGCTCAGTCGGCCGCATGTCGATACACTGAAATCCAAATATGCGGTCGAGTCTAACGAACTGTTCGCAATTGATGCCAATTTTCGTTTTGGATTGTCATCGATGTCAAGAATTGGTGGCCAACTTTTTGGATCGATCGATGCGGCTGCTTCGCGTGTTTTGAGCAATTTGATAATGCTTTGAATTGATAGAACGATGCCACTTTTTGATACATCGACAATCATTCGAACTGTTGGCAATGTGGTTATTAAATTTTGTGGATGCGGCGGTCGAATTGTGACCGGTGTTGCGCCCAAATATAAGCAACCATAAAATGCACAAATCAAATCCAAACCAGGCGGAAAGATCAATGCAACATGATCGCCTGGATTGATTTTTCCACGCTCTTGTAACAATGCTGCGATTTTCTCGGCACGCTTATGCAACTCCGAACATGTGAGGGTCTTTGCTATTGCGCCTACATTTAAACGAAATGAATTGAATTTATTTGGTAAGCATTTTAATCAATCGAATTTTGCTGAATCATAGATTTCAATGAGATTTTTTTTGTTGTTTATTCTTGAATTATCACTAAGATTAATTACGCGATTGAACACAGTTCAGAAATTACCTTTCGAATTGAGAAGCGTAAACAATACATGATCAGGCGATGAATTTGCTCTCCATCTCAGAACGCCAGTGATTAGTTGATGCTAGATAATGTTAAAAAAAATTGTTTAAATGAAATAATCATAAAATGAGAGTAATTGAACTGCACCTTTCGTTCACCATCGTCGGAGAATCCGATGTCCCTTCCCTGAGCTACAGCCAAACGATTGCCTTGCACCAAATTTCCAACCATGACCGATGCCGGACCAACCGATGTGTCTGTAACACATCCAGATGAACTTCCAGTATTTTGAGTTGCTTGGAGTGCGCCTAATTGTTTTTTTTTTATTGTGGTTTATGTTTTTCATATCGGAAATGGCGGAGTCAAAATATGTCAAGATTTGTCACGTGTAATGAGTGTATGTGTGTATGTATATATGTGTATGTGAGAGAGAGTTGAATGAAAGTTTGTGTGTTAGGTGTTAAATGTTAAGTTTTATGTGATGTGTGAATGGTGATGGTGGTGGTAACGGTAAAAATAATGAATGATTGGAAGCAAGAGTTATGAAATTATTGCGGACTTTGGGAATGAATAGAATCAATTGTGCAAATTGAGTATTGTGTTCGGAATTGGTAATGTTTTCTCTTTATCTCTCAAATTATTTGTAAAATTTTCAAAAAGGCGTTTGGGTGCGCGTGTATTAAATGTGATTGTGGCATTTTGCATTGAAATAGTATCATTGATTTAAATTAAACGAAGCTTATTGGAATCGGTTTTTGAAAGTGGTTTAAAGTTTTTATTTTTTCAACCCACATTTCAATGCAGAATGATGCGATAATTTTCTGTGTCAGTTTGGTGTTATGTGTCAAATGCGACAGTGTTTATTTGATTGCAAGTAGGCGATTCCATTTGTTTTTTTGTTTTAAAATAATTGACGGTGCACATTGTGCGGATGAGGATGGTGATTAGTACGAACAGAAAATTCATTGGTTGGGATCCAGTTGAAATGAAAATGATTAAAAGAAAATTGATATGGAACTTAGCGCAGATTTTGCAACTCGTTCCAATGCGATCTAATCGAAAAGCAATCGTTCAAAAAATGAATTATTTTTGTTCAAAAAGAATAAAAATGGCGACTTTTTACAAAGAGGATGCGGTTATTTAACGAAATGTTGAAAAAAGAGGGTGTTAGTTTGTGAAAAAAAAGTAAGATCGCATACTCAATGCCGTGTGCAATCTAAACATCGATTTACCGCACTCAAACATACAAAAACTGGAGGATCATCAGAGGTTAAAGGAATTCGAATTCGATTCCCTAAGACTCAAAAATCGATTAATTATTTGAAATATTTTAAATATTATAAACAACCGAAAATTAATTATGTAAAATCGATTTAATGATTATTTGGTTTTGTTGAGATCGGCTGTGAAGAATTTTTCCAAAGAAAATTTCTATGGAACAATCGAATGAGTTTGTTTAACCTCGTTTTTGCCTGCTTATGTATCAGGCAATAATCAATCTAAATTTCTTCGATTGAATAAATTTACATAAAATGAAACTCATACGAGACGGAGCATCCTCTCGGATATGCATGGATGCAATAAATCGACCACGATATATTTGTTACCGCGATGCTTCTTGTCGTGTCCGAGACTCCGATATCTACAGTACAAAATTGATGTGCAAACGCAATAGAATTGATGGAAAACAATTACCGTGATGCAATTCTCGTGGCTTTGGTAAATTGGTTACACATGTATGTGGGCACATTAATACATTAGCTGGATGCAATGAACCCTCTAAAAATCTTCGTCGAGCTTCGCACAAATGAATGCCACCTTAACGAAGAACGTACGAAAAAAAAAAAAAAAAATATTGAAAAATGTATCTTATTGCAGACTGAAGAGATGCTTGTTTTCACATTGAATCAGTAAAATTACCTAATGGCGTTTTTGGTAAATGATTTGGCGGGACTAGAGCTAAACAATAAATTCCGACTTGATGAATCGAATCGACGGCTTGCAGTACGCGTGACATCCACTGGAACGATTCCTCTTCGGAGCAGTCGGGTCTCTGTTCGGCAATAACACATACACGTTCATCACGCAATACTTTTATGCTGAACACAGCAATTCGTCCACGATAAATAAAACGCATTGGTTCGACAGCTAAAACGGTTGCGATTATATCTGTCGATGAAAAGAAAACCATAAAATGATTAACGCTTTCGGATATTGACAAAAATGTCATCAAACATTAATTACCGTCAGCATTATGTTTTCGACCAGTGACAGTCATCAAACCGTCTCGGCTACCACAAATAAATACTAGGCCAGAGGGACCCAAAAAGCCCAACAATCCACTTCTTACGTAATTTTTATCATCACCAATGGGTTTGGTAACCACAACCGAACTCTCTGACTTTGAATCCGGCTCTTCGATTAATGGTTGCACCTTGAATGTGGAATTGGTCATTCCTTCTAAACCGAAATACGTATTTCCAGTTGCACCTGATGTTACACAAATTTCACCAACTTGATCTGTTTTGCACAGAACAGACGGACCTTCTGATCGTACAACGACCATATTTGCGCTAGGCATAACCTGACCGCAATCTTGCAGTGTTAACGATGTCAATGAATCTTCCGAATCGACACGCACAACACCATGCGAAAGTGCTGCCATTGATAATACACCACGGCCAGTAGCTGATTGACTAAAGCCACCCTGCAAATATTATTATAAATATATGAATCAGCATTTTTTCTTTCTTTCTTTCTAGCAAGCTCCAGTTTGATTTAATATTTATGAAAATAAAAAAACTTACATGTGTTCCGCGTCCAGGTCGACGCAATGAAACGGTGAATGCCTCAGAACTGCTGGCGCATGGGCATATAGCGTCTGGTCGAAGGCCTTTCGCTTGAAATACACTCAAGAATTGATCACAACTGGACAATGACCATGGATTTGCACCGTCCGCAACCAAAAGCATGCGCAATGATGACAATGAAATGTCTTTGTGATCCTTAGTAGCTAATAAACCCCAGTGCAAATCACGGCTAGAATATAGTTATAGTTGTAAGATATCATTTATTATGATTAAAAAATAAATAAATACTTACCTTTTAACCAAACAACATGATGCTCGGTATTTTGTAATCAATTGCATCCAGGATGATGGACGTAATTTCATGAGTGCATATGGAATGAATAGAACGTGAATGCCGTTTAAAACGGATGTTAAAACACTGTGCCAAAGACCAACTTCTCGTTTAAAATCCAGCACACAAACAACGGTTTCGCCTTCCGTATAATGACAGGCCATAGTTAGAGCACGACAATGATTCATCATTGCTTCACGTTTAACTGTAACGCCCATTACGCTGCCCTCTTTATCAGTCGTGTATTCGATATATGCATTGCCATCTTCATTCACACGGGCATTATTGACATTGAAATCTTTTGGTGGTTTCGGTAAATGTTCCGTAACAAACCATTGCAAACGTGGCCATCCTTTGAGTTTTGCGATTTCACCAGTCGTTGATTTTGGCAAACCTTTTAAGCACGCTTCGGATGTGAGCGCAACTTGAATACCACACGAGCTCAGTAGAAAGCCAATTTGTTGTGGCGGCGAATCGGAACTAGACAATGGTAATTCAATTGGCAATGGTACCAATCCTCTGAACATACAGCCGTACCAAGCTGTAATAAAACTGTTTCGATGAAGGAAAAAAAAAGAGATTTAAATTTAAAAAAACACGCACACCAATCATTTAATTTAAGTAGTTCATGTCACATGATCGCCTACACATTGAACAATCATTTGTTACTCATTGTTACTTGTATCGGTATTTACAGTGAATCACACACAGTTTTTACTTACTTTAATGGATCATTGTTTGGATAAACCAAGGCAACTGTATCGCCGGCTTTCAATGTAATCGATTCAGGTCCTTTGCTAAACACTTTTGTTGACAGAGCATAAGCAATTTTCATAGCTCGCGATAGTAATTTTCCATATGTTAATGTTGTTGTTAAATTTTTTCCATTTGGATCCAAAACGGTGGCCATTGGCGCTTTAAATGAACTAGACCCGTAACGTTGTAATGCTGCCTCAAGTGTTCGAGGTAAACCCGATGGTACGACTAGCTGTTCACCATGCACCGGTGTCATTGTTAAACCTTCTGGTTTTGGTGCATTTGGATCCTTTGGATTAGCTGCAATTTCTAATTCAATATCATTATCCTCATAGAATTCAGGCAATGGACGACGTTTCGGTCGTTTTAATGTATTCAATAATTGCTGAATTTTGGCTGACACCTTCCATCGACCCGTTGTACCTTTTTTTTTCATCGAATAACAACGAAACAAACAAATAAAATAAATCATATTGAATATTATTCATGTTCATTCATCGACCTAATATAAATCGTTTCGGTCGTACCTGTATCTCCAGCATCCGTTTGTGAAACATTGACATATCGTGTAACACGATCAGCTCCTCGCCGAGTGTTATTAAATTGAGTTATATCCGGGGCAGCATCTGTCAAAAAGACAATCAATTTTAAAATCACCGTCGATAGAAAATGTTGCACGAACGAGAGAAATTATCGGTCGGTATATTATATAATCAAAATGTCTTACATGGCCGAACATGTGGCTGTTGGAAATCAGGTACGTCAGTCAAATCGTAACCACTATTTTTATTATTTCGGTGCACAGCCGGTGGTGATCCAGTACTTGACGTATCTGACATAGACTGCTGTAATTTATAATGTAAATGAATCAAAGAGAAAGATGGAGAGAGAAAGAGAGAGACAGAGACAGATTGGTTATTTGAAATGTATGAATTTTCGAATTCGATATGAATTTGAATGTATATTTCGTGTAAAAACTTTTACCGGTGGTGGTAAATTTTGTGGTCTCCGTTCTGATACATTATTTTGGTGTCGACGTTCGGAATTGTCTCGTTGTGATGGCATTTTAATTTTATCTCTGGAATTGCACAAATGATCCCGTGGGTAGTTGTATTCTCGGTCTGGTGTTGCTATTCGCTCCTCAGGTATCGAAGCGTCGTCTGAACTAGAATCTGCTATGCATAACAAAAAGAAATATATGACAAATAAAGCATAAGATATTTCGATATATGTTTGTATGTGTGTATATGTCAAATAGTCTGAATTACAAGTGCCGTCAAGTGAACAAGTTTTTTTTTATATGAAATCTCATTTATATTGCAGTTTGCAAAGTGTGGTGAGTACATTTGGGATTGTTCTGTTTTCAATTTTCATTTTTCAGCTTCATGACTTTTCTATTATGCTATACTATACATATATTTTATCTGTTCTCATTGTGCGATGTCGAGATCATGATTCATGAATAATTGAATGAAACTTGTTTCAGTTTAAAATGCAAAAAAAAAAATAAACTTGTTCTACGACACAAAATGACAGAGGGATGGAGAAAGAGGCAGACATACAAAGAATTATAAGGAAATATAATTTGTTTTATGTTTGTTACCTGTGTCGTCGCGATTTCGATCCGGGCTTCGATTGAGTACGGAGCTACGTTTCGATGGCATTGGCAAACTGGGTTTCGGTCGATTTTTCAATGCAGCCAGTGCTTGCTGCACAGCCTCCTGTCTGACTTCTACACCATCAATCGTCAAGGTGAATAGAGAGATAGAGAGAGAGAGAGAGAGAGAGAGAGAGAGAAAAAAAACACCAACCAAACAAAAAATTGAAACAAGAAATGAATTAGATTTTCGAAATATATTTGAACTAATTTGTATCGACACTCGACAAGACAAGACAAATCAACAACCGAAAAAAAAAATCGCGTCACAAAGGCGTACCAAACTGTACGAGGCAAAGCCCAAGACGAACAACAAAAAAATGACACGCAATCGTTTCGTTTTGCGTGGGCCGTCGAAATATATATAATATAAAACATTTTTTTCCGCTCATTCAATTAACATAACAATGAACAACCAGTGTATTGTCAAAAAAAACATCCAAACATTATTCTCACTCAATAATAAATTAATCGATTAAATAAACTTATTCCATAAACAACACAAAGCGTTATCTTTCTCACTTTCCATTTTTGGCATGGAGTTGGCCATTGAATAATATATTTATAAATGTATGTTTGTTGTTTAGCGATATGCAGAATAGAACTCCCATTTATGAATTTCTATTTGTCTAATCTTTCTGATCAGCTATATTATATTTTTTTGTTTGTTTGAATTAATCGCTCTTTGATTTGGACGATGTTTGTATTTATGTTGTTTTTGCAATAATAATAATCGTTTTTGATTTGGTTCGGTTCACTTACCAGAATGGTATCGCTTTTCATTGTGCGTAACACGTCGCTGTGCTCTTCGGGCTCGATTTTGTGCCTGCTGATCGCGGTGTGATGAGGACGTTGATTTTTGTTGTTGTTGCTGTTGACGATGTTGCGTCGATTGAAGTGATGGCACTTCATCTACATAGCTGTAGCCCTCACTATTAACTATATTGTTACCACCGCCGCCACCACCACTGCTTCCTCCACTATTTTTTTGCAGATTATAATAACCGTCATCTAGAAGCAAGATGAAAAAAAAAATGACGTTGTGATAGATAGACGCAAACATGACAGAAAACAGTTTGTCAATTTAAATTAATCAACATCGTTTTGCTACACTTACTTGATGGCGGATTTTTTGGTAGATATGGCTGTAGCAGCCGTGTTCGTTTCTTTTCGAACCCTTTTTGAGTGATGTCGCCTAAAAGAATATGATCGAATTAATGCTTACAATTAATTTCCATTTTGAAAATGTTCAAAAAACTTATTCAACACAAAAACACAAGGTTGATGAATGAAACATTTCCTAATCGTTGTTCGAAATTTATAATCAAGACAAAGCGTGATTATCTTTTAACCGTTGTGCGGTTTTCGATTTTTGTATCATTTTTTAGTTGCTTCGTTTCTTGTTTACCAAAACTAATTTACTTCATGGTTAACCTCACATAAATTAGTTCATAAAGAAATGAAGCATCAATGTCTGGGTTTTTTTTTAATTTCAAATATCAATTAATATTCAACAGAAGTATATACATATATATTAAATGGAATTTTTCATCTTCTTCTTCACATTGCACATGCTCGAAAAATATCTCATACGCGGAATGTTAAAAAAAACGGTCTTCATGCATTGCAATTGCGGGGGAAGGGCGAATTAAATATTTATATCAAATTCAAATGAATTTTTCCATTTTTTTTAATTGTTGTTTTTGTCATTCAAGGCAAAGTTTATGCTAGTGATTACTTACTTGTGACTTTACAATAATCACGTCGTAGCGAATGATTTTTGCTGGCATACCATTTTTTTCGTTTGCCACGTTTTGCTTTTCGGCTGCCATTTAATCGACATTTGCCGACAGTGTTGCTACTTTTTTTCACCGTTTTACTATTCTTAGCATAGTTTGGTTTCAACATTGGCGTATTCAGTGCGCCCATGCAATTGCACAGAATTGTTTCGGGTGTAATTGAATAGGCATTGGCCAATTTACGGTTCATTGAACATTCACATTCCGGTTGAATTTTATCACACAACACGCACACACCATCTTCGGTAAATTCGTCCTCATTTAAAATGTCTTCGTATTGATCGTCATTATCGTCGGTGCCATCGTCAAATAAAAATTCACCGGCACTATTATAATTCACAATCATTGATTGTTTTTCTTTTAAAAAATCATCGTCAATGGTTAATTGTTTAAATTGTTCGTGTTGAAAATATTCGGACATTGCATTATTCCATGCGGACGATGATTCATGTTTTATATTCTGTAAATGTTTGTTACAGCTAAAATCTAACGAAGCGTATTCCAAATCATTTGACATTCGTATTTCATTCATTGGATATAACATGCGATTTTTTCGACGTGTATTCGTTCGATCGGCATTTCGTTTATCGGGATATGGAAAATCGAAATTGGCATCATTGCATAAATCATATGATAATTTATTTTTGATGATAATATTCGTTTTATCATCATTGGCAATGCCGTTGCCGTTGCCATTGCCATCATCTTTATCATTTGGAATGATTTCGACAATTTTCTTCGTAAAACTTGGATACGAACTCAAATATACGCTTGAATTGCTCCGAAATGCCAATTCATCGTCCGGTTGATTTGGTTCAATTTGTTTAACATCGTTTAATTTCGCATGAATGTCGTCAGCTGTACGTTTTCCATCACATTTAGTACAGATTTCATCGAGCGTTTGATCGTTGATCCTTTTCTTTTGCAAATAATACTCCTTCAATCGTTTTAAATGTTCTTCAAAAAATGCCTCGAGATCACTTATTTCTTGCGAAAAACTATAATCGGTCGATTTGTTTTCATCTTTTTGCAATTTTTGTTGAATTTCACTGTAGTAACGATCGAGAAACGTTTCGCATGGATTTTTCACCGATTCCAATTTCTTCTTTTTATTTGAGCTATTGGTGTTGCTGCCGCATTTCGGCGAACTAATTGATTTTGTTACTTTCTTACACTCTTCTTTGCTGCCAAGCTTCAGTTGTAATTTGGAATTTGATGGTGATTGTTGTTGTTGTTGGTGCTGCTGTAGTTTGAACTGATTTTTCTTGTTGTTATTACTGCTGCGTCTCACTCCATTTGGTTGAAAGGCTGGCATCTTTTTAAATTGGCCATCACGTGTAAGCGTTGCTTTTGATTTACGTTTCGATTTTTTATGTTGTTTTCGATTGAATAGACTTTTTTGTTTGGTCAATGTCAAACTAAAGCCAGAATCATGTGACGATATCGAACGAAATGAATCGTTTTTTATTTTCGCATTTGATTTTTCAATGGATGTTTCGAGCGATTGATCGTCTTGCCCAAGATTCAATTGTTTCCATACACGGCCCAAATTCACTGAATACGGTTCTTTTTGATTGGTGAATGGATTTGTTTTGATACGTAACGGATATGGTATCACATTTACATCATTGTTATATTCATGTGTGTCTGGTTCCAAAAAGAAATTGTTGTCGATTTTGTCGCAAATGTGCATCGATGCGAATGAATCGTTCAATGCTTCGGCTTTACAATGTGCCGTCGTCATCGTCGTCGTCGTCGCCGCCGTTGTCGTCGATTCCAACATATTCAAATTGCCAATTTCATGTGAACATGGTTTGAAACCATTCTTATCATAGCTATTCATCATTTTGTATTTTGACCGATGTAATGGATCATCTTCAGTCTTTTTATTCGTTCGAATTTGCTTATAAATTTCAAATGTGAATTTACCATTGAGCGATGTTTCATCTTCCGAATAATCAAGTAAATTGTCCACACCAAGCGCTGAGTCACGGCTCACTTTTTTATTGAGCGCCTCTTTAATTTGTAAATGACTTAAATTGTCAATGTTACACCCCGAATCTGATATTTGTATAACAACACCTTTTCCCTTTCCACTTGACGATAAATTAGTATGGTTGACGGCAGCAGCGGCAACAGCGGCTGCAGCAGCAGCATTTGCTATTGTTGCCGTGACATCGTTGTACTTTTTGGTATATGTGTTACATTGTAGCGGTGTTGCCACATCCTTTGCTTTCTTACTTTCATCGTCAGTGTTATTGAAACATGTTTCCAAGTATCCGCTCGAGTTCAGTTCATTCGAATACGTTTTAAAAATGACAAAGCTTGGCATTTCATTTTCGGGATTGCGTGCACTATCCTCATTACATATGTTAAATGTTGACTTATTTTTGACTGGATTCAATTGAAATTGTTGTTGCGTCAATGACGGCGCTGACCATATGCTATCATTATTATTGTAATTGTTTTTGTTGTTGGCATTATTTAAATTAACGAAATCGCTGCTGCATCGTTTCGAACTAGTATTGATGTTATTATTACTGCTATTATTGCTACCTGCCTGTCGAATACAGACTCGGTTCGACTGTTGATGATATTGTTGTTGTTGTTGCGGCTGCTGCTGATGCTGCTGCTGTTGTGAATCATCGTTTGGTGCAAACGATTTTGATCGAGACTTATGAACGAACCGATGATGCTTTTGATGTGGATCAAATTCACATTCGGAGCTTCGTAAAATTTCAAAAAATGGATCACGATGTGAATATCGCATGTTAACTGTACGGTCAATTGAATCGGCAGCGGTCACGTCCAATCCGGTGCCAATCGGTTTCTTCAACATATTGCCCGCCTTTACGAAGCAACTGGTGCTTGTTGTCATTTCATCGTATTTATTTCGTTTGCTTTTGCTTGAGCGACGTTGAACTTTTAGCCGTTCATCAGAACCTGCAACACCAGAAACATTAGCATTGGTCATTAAAGTACCATTACTTTCCACACTGTTTCGAATTGATTCTTTTGATGACTTATTTTTTACATTTTTTATATTCGCATTGATTTCAGAGCATCGCTGATAATTTTGCTGTATCGCTTCCTCAACGCGTGACGAGATGCTGATTGGCTCACAAACACTACTATTCACCTGAACATGGGAATGTTTCTGTTGTCGTTGTTGTTGTTGCTGCTGCTGATGATGATGATGGTGTTCGGAAAACGGCACATTATTTTCAACACCATTTCGTTGTGACGAAGACTCCTGCAGAGCAACCGCATTGCCAATAGTAGTAGCATCAACAATATTCGACGAAGTGTTTGCATGATTCTTCCCGTTTTGATTAGCATTATGCGCGCCTGATTTGGACGCGTGTATTGCACGTTTTCGGCCTCGATTCAGATAGCTGCGTCGAATACTAATTCTTTTGAATGAATCGCTCCGTTTAAAACTAGCATCACCATAATCGTCAGCGCTTTTTTTCTTTGTTCTCAACAAATTTCGAATTGCCTCAAATGATATTGCTTTCATCGTTTGCGTTTATCTTTTTAATTTTTTTTTCTTTTTTTCGTTTGTTTGTTTCTTTTGCTTATTTGTGTGCTATGCGTGTGTAAATTAACTTTAGCCGAAAATGTGAACGATTCAACGATGAATTTTCTTTGCTTTTGATTTAATTGCCAACACAATTTGACTGACAATGTCAATCTTTAAAGATTATCACTCTCTCATCGGCTTAAATATTTGTTTATCTTTTCAGTCCTCATTAAATTCAAGTTTCTAATCACTATCACGTTCCACATGTTCACAGGTTATTATTTCAACAGTTTTGATGCTTTATTTGTAATTTATACTTTTTTCATAGTTGTTGCTGTTGTCATTGTTGTTCATTTTAATTTAACAAATTAAAAAATATACTTTTACTAAGCGCTTCTTCTATTAGTTTTTTTCTTCTCTCCCCTTGCTTGACGTCTGCAAATGCAAACAAGTTCAAAAATAATTCAATTGGAAAGTGAAATTCAGCGATGATGAGATGGCATAACTATACAACACATTGGAATTGTTCTGGTAGCATTGCTTGTGTCTGGTTTGTTCGTATGCTCCGAAAAGAAGTATGAAAAAAAGAGAAATTTCCATGCATATTATAAACAAATTATCTATATGCGCAATGCGTTTGGAAATGATGTGCGCAAGATGCTTCACGTATATTGCATTTAAATTGATGTAATTTGCCTCTCAATTAGATGCAATGTTGCGTCACTTCAGCACTTGATCTCATACTCAATTTGCATGTTTGTACACCAAACACATATGAATTATTATGAATTTATGGAAAATGACACTCTTTTCGTAATCCAGCACAGATCCCACTCTATTTCGATTGCACACAGGATAAAACATGAGAAAAACAAAATCTTATCGAATCCATCCGAAATACACATGCATACTGAACGCGAACGGGCAGCAGTGGAAAAGCAATGAATTTATAAATTGAATCGATTGATAATGAAGAAACATCTGTGTATCGTAAAGATTGGAGATATATCAATATGAAATAACCAAGTATGAACATCTGAAATTAGCAATCGATATAATCGTCCAACAATCATGTTTTATTCACTAGACATTCATGTAAATTGCAAGTAATGAGACGCGCGCAAGAGTGAGAAGATTTAAACGAAGTATAAAAAAAAACACAACCGAGAAACTGATGCAAAATCAGTCGTTACAACATTAATCATGTCGCATTTCAATTGCATTACATCATATCATCATATTTTTTTTGCACAACTATAAACGCATAAACGCGAGCAAGTTACAAAAAAATCGATAAAAAAAACTTCACAGCAGCAACAACAACAACATACACTGCACACATGTCCAAAAAAGGAACCGTGCGCCAAATTTCATGTTAATTTTTCGTTGTGTACATATTTTTATACAATTTTTTTTCTCGTCTCTCTCAGTGTATACTGTTGTCATGCTCATTCTCTCTTCACTTGCTTCGGGAAATTGATTGTCGCATATGTGCGAGCGCGCAACTTGTTTTCTGTGGGATTCTTGTTCCAACTGTTTTCGGCGAGAAACGAAAGTAAATCGCATACGCAAAAAGTGACAAAATTCTGTTCAACACACACACACACACAATATCGAGGGAGAAAAGCAAAAACAATATCACGCAGTGACAACGTCAACAACCGTAATTGCAGAGGTTGATTGATACATTGAACGAAGCGTTCCAAATGAATTTTAGTCAAACTGCCAAAGATGTTAATTCAATAAAAGCGTCTTTCACCATTGTTGTTTTTTTTGGAGAATGCACCCATGAAACTTGTTGCAGATGCTGTTTGTGTGTGTGTGTTTATGGTGTGCACGATTGTGAGCGCACAATCAACAACTATTTCGGCATTTGCTGTGAGAGAAAAAGCAAAAGAAGAAGAAACAGCCATCTAGAGTTTTTTCAACTTGTAAATTGTCGAATATTTATTTATTTTATTTTCGTTTGCATGAAATTTCACATTTTCGTGTAGCGTGTATCATATGCATTCTATGTGCGCGGCAGTTCATGTTTTTCAACAAACGAAAAAATCAAAATCGTTTGGCAATTAAAAAAAAAAAAAAAGAAAAAAACAGACAAAAAACTATATATGAAATCAAATTGCAATTTTCAGCAAGTGTGAGAGAGAGAGAGAGAGAAAACAGCATTTTGCGATGTACACAACACTGTGTTGAAGTGATGATGTTTTTTTGTACAATTTTTCCATTTCACTGTTGCGATCAATGCAAGATTTATTAATGCGATGCAATAATTCCTGAGTAACGGCAATAATCGCTAGTTTTCCACCTGATGATTTTTATTATATTATGATTTTAATTGTGGTGTACGGATGCGCGCACACACACACATTCACTTGCTCACTCATTCGCTTGGCATCCCCTTGCTGTTCATTCATTCTACTCTAGCGAATTTCAACTAGATTAACTCTGTGTATCTCTATCGAATTTTCGTGGGCATAATTTCGGCAAAGATGTGCAAATCAATATGAATATCAATTTTACGAAGCGCTAGGCCAAAAGTGCTCACGGCAAAAAAAACCGTCCGTGCAGGAAATTAATTAAAATCAACTACAACAACAAAAACAACAAAAATCAAACTGAAAATTATTACACCAAAATAAGATTAAGCTAAATATACAACATCCAAACTACGAAATGAACGAACTAACGAAATAAAAAAAAAAGCACACAACAGAACACCGCCGACGAAAATAATATAAAATATAAGCAGCACAGTGCGCACAGGTAAATGCCGTAAGTGAACGATAAAATAGATATACACGATTGAATGAATATAATAATCTGAGTGTGTTGTGTATTGACGTTTTGCTTGTGCGGCGTTCAATTTTCAACTGAAAACGGTGTTATAGTTGTTTCTTGTCTATCGTGTACATATGAGAAATCCGTGATTTGATTGTGCACACGGCCACAACAACTTGAGAGGCTCACAGTGGCTCTATTGCTCGCGCCGCGCAAAAGACAAACAGAGAGTAAACGGGTAAGCGAACAAGAGATCGAAAGACATCAAGTTGTGTGTGATGCAAGTGTAAGTGTATAGAGTGTTTGAATGTGATTTCTGTTGCTTGATTCGGTGTGTTTTTGTTTTGTTTTAAGTTAATTTTTTTGTTGCTGTTGTTTGAGGCACACAAAGTGTGTGTATGTGCTTTTTGGTCCAGAATTGTGTGTCTCTCGCGATGTTTGTTCATCAAGTACCTAGCGCATTTTATACATATATGAAATAATATTCTGTGTGTCTCTTATTCCACCGTACACAATGATGGTTTTAAGTACTGATGTCTTTCCACTTGTGTATTCTGTGTGTGCGCGCGCGTTCGTTGTTAAGCCGTATGCGACCGCGAATAGTAGGGATTTGTTTTGCGCGTAGTTCAACGATAAATCGATTTATTTTAGTTTTTTTTTTTCGTTTTGTTGCTTTTGATTTGGCAAATAAAGCATTTTGCACTCCGAACCACATGTATATGCATATACCTGACACACAGAGATAGAGAGAATATATGGTTCAGAGATATGGATTTACCTCATAGAGTTTGCGAGATTATTGTTTTGTTTTGCTGTATGTTTTCTCTGTCTCTCTCTCCTCTGATCTGCCTTTTATGTAGAAAATGAGCATTTGCTACATGTTTCTCAAGGTCTCTCCCGCGAAACATATATTTCGTATGTGTGTTGTTTTTTTTTTTCGTTCACATTTTTAAAATTAACCGTGTGATAATATCTTTTACGCGTTATTGCTTCTTTTACTGATGGTTTCGACATATAAATCATAAAGAGTTGTATTGCTAACGTTATATTTGTTGTTTTTGTTTTCCTTCATTCCGGTAAAATAGTATTCGATATTTGAGTCGAATTTGTGGCGAACAACAATCACCACAACACATCGTCGTCATAGTCGTCATCGGCGAAAAAACATGATTGCAAATTATCAGCCTTTCAGCAATTCAAATTACGAAATATTAGTAGTTTTACAACACACAAAATGGCCAAATGCATTTTTTTTTTTGCAATTATAAAATGTTTATGAGCATATTCCGCATAGGAAAAAAAAAGAATACACACAAATAGCGTTCCTCACCAGGGCCCCGCGCGTAAGCGTGCTCATGAATTGGAAATTCTATGCATTCAAACCTTTTAGATTGGAAGAACAGTTTTAGTATTCTTTTTATTTATTATTGTTATTGGCTAATATTCATTCTATTAATAATTAATCGTATTATTGAGAAATAGTTATATATATTGAGGAATATATATATTTATAATAAGAATTATAAAATGTTTAAGAGCTTTTTATATGGGTGCCATTCTGAACGGGTTTACCGCTTAGCATTTTCAGTCGTTAAACAATAGGACAAACTAATGCAAAGTGTGTGTATTTGATTATGTTTTTTTTTCTATCTCTTCGTTTAGTTTTGTTTTTGTTTTCTGCAAGGTTTTTTTTCACCATGAAATTCTTGCCATAGCGCAAGTAGGCGAGCATATATTTTTGTGTGTTGATTCGATACCATAACCATATGCGTCATCTTAACGGCTTGTATTTGGTGCTGCGCTCATTGCCCCATTAGTATATATATATTCATTTGCTGGTTTTTTCTTTCCATCATAATCCAGTTTTCATTTAAAAAAAAAGACAAAACGCGCGTTGTAAATTAGACAAATAAACGAATTAACAAGAATAAAAGCCTAACAAAAAATTTATTCAACAATACTGAATAAACGGTTTTTGTGTGCATTGAACGGTGCGTTGCGATTTATATATTTGATAAATGAATTGTTCGAAAATATGAGAAAAATGTTCAATCATCAGGATTTTTTTTTTGCTTATTCTTCTTCGTTCAAATCGACTTCGAGAGCTCTCATTGCTGTCGCCAAAGAATATCACCTTGCGACGATGAGGAGATTGAGCGACACACTCTCTTCTACTGCACTAAGGTAAGAGTATAAAGGAAAAAAGGCAAAAAAAAGCATCGTAAATCCAACTCTGGAGGAGCTCATGGGCAGGCTAAACCTCAACTCTCAATAATAAATAAGAGGAAAAAAAAAACAGAAACGAATCTGTATATACATATATATATGTATATGCACGGTGCGACGAACTTTCTTATCCGGTTTTCTTGCAAGTATTTTGTAGTCGCACCAATACCATTACAATTTTATCTAGACACACCAGCAATACGTAGTATCACAGCACTGTTCTCTCTCTCTCTATCTCCTTCTCTTTCTGTATGTTGTCTGCACACGAGACTACACTCCTGAGACTTGCATTGAATAAAACACACATAGCATCTATGTTGCGGATGCTTATGATGCTATTGAAATGGTCCTCACTGCAAAATCCATACACACCGTTTTGCGATTTATTAGACGATTTTGCAAAGAAGATGATTTGAACATCGTCGCGGCCGTATTTGCGCGCACGCCAACCAACGCGCGCTCTAATTTTACATTTGCCTTTTCATCACACATGAACACACAGGTAATGTCATTGAAGACTGCCATTCGACAGAGAGAAAAAAAAAATATGTTTTTTAACATTGTTGCTGTTGTTGTTTTTTCGGTATCAATGTTTCCATTTCCGATCGACAAGAGAAAAATACCACAACGACACGGAGAACAAAAATTGTCACAAAGCTTTGCATTGTATAC